TTTTTTTTTTTTTTTTTTTTTTTTTTGCAGTGCTAGGATTGAATCCAGGGAGTGCTAAGATAAGCACTACACCACCAAGTTACATCCCTGGCACTTTTTGTAAAAAATTTGAGACAGATTCTTGCTAAGTTGCTGAAGAGATGTGTCCAAGGTGGGCTTGAAGTTGCAAAGTTCTTTTTTTTTTTTGGTACCAGGGATCGAACTCGGGTCCTTGCACTTGCAAGGCAGGTGGCAGAACCACTGAGCTAAATCCCTGGCCCACAAAGTTCCTTCTTGACTCAGCCTCCAGAGTAGCTATAGGCATGTGCCACCACATGGTGAAAGATCACATTTGATACAGAATGGTATTTTTATATCAAGAACTCCATGGACAAAGGTCAGAAACCTTTGTTTTCCTCTGGAGAACACTTGGAGGAAGGCAAAATGATGAGGGTGAAGTTTCCAAGCGGACATTAAAATGTCTATTAAGTGGGGCATGATGGTGTGATGATGGGAGGCTGGGCAACTTAAAAATACCCTGTCTCAAAATTAAAAATGAGAAAGGGCAGGGGATGGAGCTCAGTGCAAAGGCTCTGAGTTCAATCCCCAGTATCTTAAAGAAAAAAAAAAAAGTCCACCACGCCAAAACAAGGAGAGTACAATGGGCATTGTCAGGTGGGAATAAAATTTAGGTTTTTCTGCTTCCTTTTTTGCCAACAGATAAAGACTAAATAAGAAACTGAGATTGGAAGACATTTAAGAAAGAGACATCACCCAGATGCACTGTGTGGATCTTGTTTAGATGATGATTTTTTAGGAGGCAGCAGCCAGGAACATTTGAACACTGGATAGCTGACACCATCTGCTCAGACATGAAAATACCAACATACAGATCTACTTGAGAGTCAACAGAATCCAGTGTTTCCTGTTTCACCGGACATTAAGTAACATGAACTTTTCTCCTTTTCTGTAATGTCCAGGTAGAGGACATGAGCAATGAACCTGGGGCGCTGGTCTGACTCAAACTCAGGCCCAGTTGAGTGACCCATTGCTGCTGCAAACCACCTTTGCCAGTGTCAGCCGTGTAAGGCCACCCCACGGTGTGGTGTGACAACCACGCCAGCTCGTCCCTGAGAGCAGCATGGCAGGGTATGCAGAATTCTGGATTTTAGAAATACAGTCAGAAATATGGATGAAGTAATTTCTGAGACTGATGTGAAAATAACCTAGGGTAGGAGAGCATGGGGAGGGGGTGGGGGAGACGATGAAAATGTATCACTCCTGCTTTAAAGTGCACCACAAATGCTAAGAAGGTATTCGAAAAAGTAAATGGATTCTGTGCTGTTCTCACAACAGTTATGAATACTGCAGAATTGTGAAGGGTTAGAACTACACAGTGGGTGAACTAGCTCATGACTCCACTTGTATGAACACTGGTAGAGGCGTGATCGATTTAGTCTAGAAAACGCCAGTCACAGAGCTGGACTGTGTTTGTTCAGGATCTTTCCACCCTGGCACTCTGGACAAGTCCTCAACGAGGAGCTACAGCACCACACCTGAGCACTGTAGGACACCAGGGAGCATCTTTGGCCTCTACCCAAAGATACTAGTGGCACCTTTCAAGTCACAAAGACCAAAAATGTCTCCAGACGTCACCAGATGTCCACATTTGAGAACCTCTGGCCTGCAGCCACACTGGCTGTTCTGAGGCAGTGGTTTTCACAGGAGCTGTGACTGCCCAGGGAATGCTGGGAATTTTGTGGGGGCTCCTCTGTCACATGACTTGGGGGTATGTGGATGAAATGTGGGCAGGGGCCATGTGTGCTCCACAACTGAGGCACTGGTCACCAGTGGGTCAGGTGTGCAGGTGTACAGCACATATGTGATAGCGAATTCAGGCTCTAACTTGGTCTTTTTTTGTCTCACCTGTAAGCACAAATTAATTGTTGTAGGTTTGGAGCTAACACAAAATTTCCCAGAAATGCAATAGCATTTTGTTTTGCTCAGAACTTTTGCAAGACATAGTTGCTTCTTGGGAAAATCACACCCTGTACAGGAACAACCCTCACAGTGTACGTGTCATCAGCACACCCCATGCCAGTCTGCAACGGGCAATTGTTGGTCCGAGGTGTGACGTCCCACACAGGATGCAGTGAGCTAACCTTCTGGACTTTGTACGCATCATTCTATCAAACTTTGACTTTAGTCAGCCTCTACAAAATTGGACAAGTATTACTTTTCTACATTATAAACAAGGCAGATTTTTTTTTGTTTTGTTTTGTTGTTTTTTTTGAGACATGTTCTCACTATGTAGTTCAGGCTGGCCTTGAAATCCTCTGGATTCACCTGCCTCAGCCTCCTGAGTGCTGGGATTAAGGCATGTGCCCTAACACACAGCTAGGGGCAGGTTTTATTACTGGTGAACTCATTCGGGTACAATGGAGGAAACATCCTGAAATACTGGCTGCTAAGGGACCCTGGGCTTGAAGGTCTGGGACTTGCCATTTCCTGAAGAAGTTAGGGGTCACTAGCAGTAGCCCCCTGGCCCCTCCTGCCACAGACATATTGTGTAACTTACCACATTTGTGCACCTGAGGTTCAGAGGTCATGGCCAGCACTTCTTTCCTAGGTGGATTCTCTGAGGTTGAACATGCTGGAGGAGCCCATAGAGGGCTCCTCCACCCCGATGATGTGCACAGGGTTTTTCTCCTGTATGAGTTCGTGGATGTCAAACAGGGCCAGTGCCCTACTCACTGGCTGTGCTGCTCTGGCCTGATCCCTGGAGCTCTGTCCCGACCCTGCCTGTGGATGCTGGGTGTGCTGTGCGCTCCTGCTGCAGGGCTGCTGGCATCTCCGGGGCCTCCTGGATGGCTCCTTGTCCCTGGTGTGAGTGATCTGGTGGCGAATGAGGTGGGAGCTCTGGGTGAAGCACTTCCCACACTGGGTGCATCTGAAGGGCCTGTCACTGCACAGCGCCCGCTCCTCTTGGCTCAGAGGTGGTGTGCAGGTGAGAGCGTCTGCCCACGGCGGCCTTGGCAGAGCCGCTGTCTGCTCAAAGATGGGGCGGCAGGTGAAGGGCGGCTCCCCGGCATGCTTGCGCTGATGCTGGGCCAGCGAGGAACTATGCCGGAAGCCCTTCCCACAGTGGTTGCACTCGTAGGGCCGCTCCTCAGTGTGTGTGCGCAGGTGCAGGAAGAGGCAGGTGGTGCGTGAGAAGGCCTTCCCGCACACACTGCAGGCGTAGGGCTTCTCCCCAGTGTGTGTCCGCCGGTGTCGGCCCAGGGACGAGTTCTGGTTGAAGGCCCTCCCACAGTCCTGGCACGCATAGGGCTTCTCACCCGTGTGGATGCGCCGGTGCACGGTGAGGTGCGTGCTGTGGCAGAAGGACTTCCCACACTCTGCGCACTTGTAGGGCTTGTCCCCCGTGTGGATGCGCTCATGCTGCACGAGGGATGAGTTCTGGCTGAAAGCCTTCCCACACTCCTTGCACACATATGGTCGCTCGCCTGTGTGGATCCTCCTGTGCACTGTGAGGTGTGCATTGTGGTTGAACGACTTCCCGCAGTCGGGGCATTTGTATGGCTTCTCAGGGCCCTGGTTCCTCAAGAGCTCTGTGCCTGAGATGGCCAGGTCGGAGGCCTTGTCGTCATCCTGAGGCTGTTTTCCTGGGGAGCACATTGGCTCACTGGCTATTTCTGGCTCAGGGTCTGAGCCGGTCACTTGTGAGTCAGTACAGAGATATTCTCTCTTGGAAACCGGCAATGGACCTGGGCTGGAGCTCAGCACACAGCTCTCCTCATATCTGAGCCTTTCACAGCCTGGACTGTGATTTGCTCCTTCCTCAGATGCCAGTTGTCCCTTTCTGTGCGCCTGGCCCTCACCCTCACTTGGCCATGAATCCCCCGTCAGGGAGGAATAAGCAGTGACCCGTGGGAACTCTTCTCTTTCTGTGCCAGTCGTCAGCTTCTCTTCAGGGAAGCCTGGCTGCCAGCCTGTAACAAAACCCAAGACTCCTGAGTCATTGTGGGAAGAGGAGGAGAGGGACCGGCCCTGTCGCTGCTCTAGGATCCTACCCACCTGCCCAGCAAGTCCTCAAACACAGCCTTGCTCCTGGGCCAGGCACGGGTACCTGGCACCAAGGGGAGGGCATATGTTTCCTGGATGGGGCTGCTGCTCACCACACTTTAGTGCCCTCCCTTCCCCTGCAGCTTGAATCACTGGAGGTACATGCGTGACTGTCCCATTGGGTGGCTCATACCACTGGTGGCAGAAATAAATCTGATTACTTTTGTTTTTTGAGACAACATCTTGCTATGTAGTTCAGGCTGGCCTTGAACTCAAGGTGATCTTCTGCCTCAGCTCCCAAACATTGGGACTACAAGCATGTATCACTATGCCTGGCTGGATCTGATCACTTTTATCAGTCTTTTTACTAATAAAATTAATAAAAGACCTGTAAGTGGGCCAAATCTAGTTAGTGCTTGAATTTGAATAATTACTGCCTAAATATAAATATTAATACCATTACAAAAGAGCATTCCCAGATTAGCTATATATCATATGATCAAATTTAAATAAAAGCTGCCGGCAGAGAGACATACAAACTATAGCCCCGTCATGAATGTGTTAAAGCAACATATGCTCCACACCTCCAATTCTGGGATCACCAGTGCTAAACCCAGAGATCAGCAGCGCTGGTCCCCTGGAGGCTCAGCAGAGAGGCTTCCTTGCCTTCCGCAGCTCCAGGAAGCCCCCCGTGCCTTGGCCCTCGTTGCATCTTCAGGGAGGGCAGCATCACATCCACCAATCTCTCAATGACCTCTGCTTCTTGTCACATATCCCTTCTGACTCTGGTCCTTGTGAGCACACTGGTTGTGGGGATCGGGACGTGCACGTGGTTGGGCACCCTTGGTCCTCTCCAGCCCTCTTAGCTGTGTAGGTCTTGCCAGTGACACATCCCTGTGCTCATCTTCCAGGGCCCAATCTGGGTCTAGAGCTGATGGCTAGTGCATGCTCAGAAATTTCCACCTCAGGGAATGCTGGGGGTGCTGACAAAATGAGAGCCTAGCCACAGCAGAGGCCTGCCAGGGGCCAGCCCCAAATCCAACTGTGTCCACAGCACCATCAGGGGTAAAACAGGTCAGGACACATAAAACCCTATACACCAGTGTTCACAGCAGAACTCTTCTTAACTACCAAAGAGTGGAAACAACCCAAGCGCCTATCAGCTAAGAAGTGGATAAAGAGAACAGCACAAAAATTTTACCCTAATAAGGTTGCAGCAAGAAGCAAATGGACTCATCTCCTCCCAAGTCTGGGGTGGTCACTCCTCCACTGACCGTGCATCCCCTCTGACAATGAACCAAGCACCGTGCTAGCTTAGTCTCCTACTGACTTTGCTCCCTGCTCCTTCTCCAGGTCCCTTGCGTACACTGCCCCCTCTGCCTGGAACCCCATCGCCAGACATCGGCCTGCCTCTGTTACCTCCCGAAAGAGGCCTCCCTGACTGTCTTGGGCCTGAGCACCCTGCCCTATGTGCACCAAGTATCATTTTTTCCCCTCATCTCCACTTGGCAGTGGCACTCCCTTCTCAGACCCAGCTGAGTGGGGTCTTGCCATGTCCTAGAGGTGAGGAACAGGCTCAGGAGCTGGCAGAGCTCCTGATGTTATCAGAGACTACTTGGCATGAGTCCTGGCCCAGGTGGATGCTGACAGCAGAAGGAGCCGGAGGAGGGCCTAGAGGGAGACTGGCCTGAGGCCGGCTGGGCTGCAGTGTCACAGCCTACAAACCGAGAGCCCACCTCTACCTCCAGAGCAGGAGGAAAGGAGGGGCTGGGAGGCTGGGGAGGGAGGCAGAAAGGAAGCCAGAGCACAGGGTGGGGAAGGCGCAAGTCCGGGCACCCAGCCACAGTCCTAATTCCTGGGACCGTGACTATGCAACCTGAAAAAGGCTGACAAAAAGGACATTGCAGATGAGACTGAAGTAGGAATCTTAAGGTAGGAGGTTGACCTGGGGCCTAAACATCATACTCTAGAGGGTCCCTGTAGAATAGTAGAGGCAAGGCAGGGCTAGACGATGGCAACAGCAGTGATGTGCTTCCGTGATGGAGAAGGACTTGTGGGCCTAGGATATGGGTGACCTCCTGGGGCGAGAAAAGCAAGAAAAGGGATTCTACCCCTGGAGCTGCCAAGAGGAACCAGCCCTGTGAACCATCTTGATAAATGAGAACTGAAATCTATGTTTTTTTCAAGCAATCTAGATTGCAGTCTTTGTTACAGCGACAATAGAAAACTAATACAAAAAATTACATGGAAAAATATATAAATTATATACAAATATATGGTATATACAAATATACAAGAAAAGGGATTCTACCCCTGGAGCTGCCAAGAGGAACCAGCCCTGTGAACCATCTTGATAAATGAGAACTGAAATCTATGTTTTTTTCAAGCAATCTAGATTGCAGTCTTTGTTACAGCGACAATAGAAAACTAATACAAAAAATTACATGGAAAAATATATAAATTATATACAAATATATGGTATATACAAATATAAAATATA